AACGGTCTTTTTCAAAATATGGGTTTAAAGCACAAATGATCAAGTCAAGACACCTTTATTTATATAGCGCTTCAACAGCAACCTTTGTTGGCATGACCGGCACAAAAAAAACGACAGTTTAAAAAAAAAAATAGTTTAAGCTCTCAAGCACATCAAGAGCTTCCTATGAAACCACAACTGTTAGAGTACAACAGCTTGCAACCAAACACATAATCCACAAATGACAGTAAGTTTCCACACAGTCCTCCCATTTTAAAGGATTTACTTGACAAAGTAGCATTATTTAAATATGGCTGCCACATTTGCTTTACATCCAATGCCTTCTTCATACAGGAAAGGATTTTGTTTATTCATTACAATAGAATTGTTTTTTTTTTTGTGGTTTATACATACAAAAGCTGAAATTAGACTAATTCTAAAACGCAAAGTGCTTGTTTTGTCTGCTTTGTGCCAGAAGTCTAGGGCTATCCAGAGCATATACAGCAGTTCTGGAGCAAAGGTGAAGAGCTGGCATGCACAATAAAGGTATCATGATATCAGATGACAGAACTCATGCGCTTTTATAACTACTACCACCATTCCAGTTGTTTTGATGGTATTTGTGTGCACAGGTTATACCTGTATTGTGTCAATAATTAGGCCTATATTGCACAAGGAATTAAGAAACACCTGTGAGGAACAATGTGTGCCTTCAACATGGGAAACACCCGCTGCTCACTACCGAGAGCACTCAAGGTTGTCCTTATATGGAGTTAAACACAACGTCTGGCCTGATTGGCTCCTTGACATCTAAACCAGAACATGCAGATTTTCAGCTGCAAATTACCTGAGAGCACCTGTTAAGACAAAGAGGACAACACAGCAAGAAAGGATTCTTTTAGTTGTGCAATCCCAGTCATTTACTTACATTGATAGATATTACCAGACAAAAACTGGGAATGATTGGGGATGGCTATGAATGTAAGCAAAAGAACCATAAACATGTTCATGATTGTGACATGGGTGGTATGGCTTATACTAATATATTTCCAGGCCTATGGAGTTCAGCATCCTATTTACATCTGTTTTCTCTTTTTGATGTTATGATGACGGTGGTTAAACCTAAGCTAACTTGCTTGAATTTACTTGAGCAATTATGGTTGATGAGAATATAAAAGGGAAAAAAATCTGAAAGGTCGTTTGTTATTCCATGACTCATCGTTTCTAAGTGTTATTCAATATGGAGGTGTTCAGAGAGACAGCACTGCCCTCTACTGGACAGACAATGAAAATACCATTAAACTTTTTTTTTTTTACATTGAATGCATTTTTGCAAATCCAGAGGGACTTGCAAAAAATGTTTCATGAGACGATCTGAAGTATTATGCATGTTTTTTTAAAGATTTATTTTTGGCGTTTTATGCCTTTTATTTAGATAGGACAGTAGGTCGACAGGAAGCGAAGTGGGTGAAAGAGAGAGAGGGCGGTGGGATCGGGAAAGATCCACGAGCTGGGATTCGAACTCGGGACGCCCGGCACGCGGCGCCAACGTATTATGCATGTTTAATTCTGTGCGTGCAATCAAGTTCTCAGATCTCCGAAGTAAATGCGGTTATTTTGCATTTAAACTAATTGCATGTATAAATGCAGTAAAAAGTGGAGTGTGTAATTTCTTAAACTATATATACTTTTTCATAATTACAGTTCTCAAACACCCCCCTCCATTGTTTGGCCTTCCAATAGAGGACACGACTAAGTTGTATTTACAACACTGTTCCAGAACAGTTCAACCCAAATATTCAGATGTTTGCAGCACATTTTATGGAGGACTGTTTCCTGATCCTGGTAGAGTAGACTACAATGCCGGCTGTTCTGACTCACAGACTGTAAATACGTTTTCATATTTAAAGGATTTGCCACTGACGATTCAAACGCGAGTTTTGAGCAGTGTAGAGTAGCAGTTGTTGTTTGTAATTTCTCCGATCACAAATGCAGACATGGTTTTATGTTTACGCGGCGCGATGCAAAGCAACGCGTAAAAAGACAGTATAAGTCATTATAATCCATAATTATGTCCCCACTGGATGCAACAAATGCCTCGTTTATAATGGGTTTTCATGTTTTTGTCTCGTCGCTCCGGCCTGACAGGGCATCAACAGTATGGTAAGGGGCGTAACATTTCCGTCACACGCTTGAGGTATTCGGCCAATCACAACGCACTGGATAGCTGGCCAATCACAGCACACCTCGCTTTTCAGACCGATGAGCTTTGTAAAAATCGATGCGTTTCAGAAAGGCGGGGCATAGAGGAGAAAAAATTATGTACAGTATGTGGAAAATAATGTGTTTTTTTACCTTTAAACCGCATAAACACATTTCATTACACCAAATACACCAAATAATGTTATTTTTTGCAGCATCAAATGACCCCTTTAACTCTCTGTACATGCAGTAAACCGAAGCTGATCTAACAAGAACTGGATCAAAAGAGGCTGGTTTGGTTTTGTGGTCTTCTCAAAGACTTATAAAGTGTGGTGAGCTGTTATGTTTTTTGACCCACCCAGTTAGGCCACGGATCATAAAAAAAAGAAAAGTCTCTGTCAGCCACAAAACTAAAAGGGCACATGGCATGGTTTTACAATAATATGCGCGGAGGGACGCCTCTAGACACCAAGACAGCACAAACAGAGACGGAGAGGCGAGGGTGTGACGCTGCATTTCATTCAAACTGAGCTGGACCTGTTTTTATCTTTAATTCATGTCTTTTCATACCCAGTGGCCTCCGCCCTCAGTAGACAGGTGTCCTGAACGGGGAGTGTTCACAACAAGACCTGATTTTCAGGATATCAGATGCCTTTAATTACGCTGGAGTTGCATGAGTATGTTATTTGCTGTATTTCATTTGTGCGGTTTGTGTGGGTTATCTGGTGTACAGTGGGATTGAGGAATTCTCCTGCTAGCGGTTTGACTCCGGTTTTGTACACAAACCTGCTAAAAGCATTTGCACAGTTTTTTCCTTCCTCACAAATGTGCTGGCATGCTTTGCTGCCTTCCGAACAAGCACCAAACAACACTTTTCATTCGTGGCTAAAGGAAAGCCTGGAAGAGATTATGTCATACAGGAAGAGCTCGCAGAAAATGTTACCTTAAAAAGTGTTTTTCTGCACATCTCCACAATGCAGGCATGAATTTGAACGCCGCCCCAATCCCCGAGGGCTCATTTCACACCACAGGAGAGTGCGGTATAGCTCGATTTGGACCCCTGGGAGACTTTCTATATTTTATATCTATATCTATATATATATATATATATCTATATCTATATATTGTCTCCGACACAGAAGATGAAGACCTGACAGCCTCCTTCTCAAGTTGTCAATCACTGCCAGACAGCTATTCACTTGAGGAAGCTTTTGCTGCTTCCAGAAAAATAAAAAAACCAACACACTATTATGTCAAGCACACAGAATTTTTTTTTAAAAGACAAGCAAGAAAAAAAAACAATGCATGCATGGGCTTCCGTAGAAAGCATGATGCTACTTCTATATTTTGGTGTGTAAACATCACATAGCAGTGGTTATTTGTGTGGCGTGTGGAGAGCTGCACACATTTAGCCCAGGCAGTGTCCCTGTGAGGAACAATGTGTGCCTTCAACATGGGAAACACCCGCTGCTCACTACCGAGAGCACTCAAGGTTGTCCTTATATGGAGTTAAACACAACGTCTGGCCTGATTGGCTCCTTGACATCTAAACCAGAACATGCAGATTTTCAGCTGCAAATTACCTGAGAGCACCTGTTAAGACAAAGAGGACAACACAGCAAGAAAGGATTCTTTTAGTTGTGCAATCCCAGTCATTTACTTACATTGATAGATATTACCAGACAAAAACTGGGAATGATTGGGGATGGCTATGAATGTAAGCAAAAGAACCATAAACATGTTCATGATTGTGACATGGGTGGTATGGCTTATACTAATATATTTCCAGGCCTATGGAGTTCAGCATCCTATTTACATCTGTTTTCTCTTTTTGATGTTATGATGACGGTGGTTAAACCTAAGCTAACTTGCTTGAATTTACTTGAGCAATTATGGTTGATGAGAATATAAAAGGGAAAAAAATCTGAAAGGTCGTTTGTTATTCCATGACTCATCGTTTCTAAGTGTTATTCAATGTGGAGGTGTTCAGAGAGACAGCACTGCCCTCTACTGGACAGACAATGAAAATACCATTAAACATTTTTACATTGAATGCATTTTTGCAAATCCAGAGGGACTTGCAAAAAATGTTTCATGAGACGATCTGAAGTATTATGCATGTTTTTTTTAAAGATTTATTTTTGGCGTTTTATGCCTTTTATTTAGATAGGACAGTAGGTCGACAGGAAGCGAAGTGGGTGAAAGAGAGAGAGGGCGGTGGGATCGGGAAAGATCCACGAGCTGGGATTCGAACTCGGGACGCCCGGCACGCGGCGCCAACGTATTATGCATGTTTAATTCTGTGCGTGCAATCAAGTTCTCAGATCTCCGAAGTAAATGCGGTTATTTTGCATTTAAACTAATTGCATGTATAAATGCAGTAAAAAGTGGAGTGTGTAATTTCTTAAACTATATATACTTTTTCATAATTACAGTTCTCAAACACCCCCCTCCCCCTCATCCACTCCAAACTCCCACCATTCGTAGTTTTATTTATGAATGTAGTTATGTAGCCTATATTTAACCTTTAACTTTATCAGTCTGATCAAACAACAAACCTTTAATCAGTTTATGAGTCACACCAGAAATGGAAGATCAAGTTGAGACTCTGAGATTGTTCTCAAGAGTAGTAGATATAGGAATACTGCTAAATTAGTAGGTAGCATAATGCAATGTTCTAAACATAGCCATGAACCAATAATTGCTTAGTGCACCTAATGTTATTGTACTGTATTGCTGTTAAAAGTGGTCTAACTGAGTGACTCAAAGCTGAACTGGATGAGCAATCAAAATAAATACAATGCAACAAGTAATCAAGGCACTTTTAATGGCAGAAATCATCACCTGAGGCAGGACAACAGCAAACACTCCACATTTAGGACACTTTCATTCACCCTGAGCTTTCCCCTCCATCTCATACTGAACCACCTCAGAAGCTAGACGACTTTGATTTGACTTTGGACACTCGATATGCACATTTATGAGGTAGAAGTGAAAACACCTTGCTTGCTTTTGTGCGTCTTCCAAATCTACGCATTTGAACCAAATTCAATATCAAACTGCATTTGATTCGCTAAGAAACCTAGTTAGCAAGCGTTGCCATACAGTGTATCTGCTTCAGTTTATCCTCTGTGTAACCGACACCACGTTTCCTTACACTACAACACTCAGGGAGAGAAATCGCATGAATTTAACAAACTTTCATTAAAAACTTTTCAAATCGAATCTGTAATATATAAAAAGAAAGCAAAAAGGCACATACAGGATCAAGCAGAACTACCAAATCGATCACTCGTTTTAAACATTAAGGCACTTTGCGCATTAATATTTGCCACAGTTCCTCCGAGGGTCTTCATTTAACCAAGCAGGAAGCTGCACAAAGAGAAAAGGCATTTTTGTCAGTAAATAAATTAAATGCAAAAAATAAAGTCATCATTTGTATGAATAAATTCCTAAATTAAATGTGATCACATTAATATATTTTTTAATAGACTATGGACTATTTCTATAGACTATCATTCAAACATTTGAGCTCAGTAAGTCTCTTCTGCTCAGTAAGGCTGCATTTGTTTGAACAAAAATACAGTAAAAACTGTAAAAATGTGAAATATTATTACAATTTGAAGAAACAGTTTTCTGTGAATATATTTTAAAATGTAATTTATTCCTGTGATTTCAAAGCTGTATTTTCAGCATCATTACTCTAGTCTTCAGTGTCACATGATTTGCTGCTCAAGAAAAAGTTTTAGCTGCTGCATTTTTTTTGTGTAAACAGGATTTTTTTGATGAATAGAAAGCTCAGTGAACAGCATATATTTGAAAGAGAAATCTTTTCTAACATCTTAAATGTCTTTAGTGTCACTTTTGATCATCATTGTTGAATAAAATATTTATAGAAAAAAAAAGAAAAACATTTTTAAAAAATTTACCGATCCCAAACTTTGAACGGTAATGAATAATGATATTTATTTAAGATTCTGCACCATTTCTGTCACTATTCAAATGTAGTGTCATTGATCATGTGACACAGACATCAGATTTGGTTTCCACTGAAGATCAAGATGCTCTTTAGATCTTAAATCATGCTTAGAACATCATTAGTCACATTAGATTTAGCTCCTGTGCTGCTGTTATTGAAGCAAAACAGTAAAAGAGCAAATACTAAGGAATTCTCAAATTAATTTTACTCAAGTTATATAATCTGTAATTTTGCATTAAATAAAAAAAAAATGCATTACCGAAGGATTTTCATTAGTGCTCTCAGACCTTTGCATTAAACAGCGGTCTAATGATCTCACCTGTAAGGATATCCATGATATTTGGCCCTAAAGATGGAGAGCAGCCAACTGAAGAACAGCACCACCAGCCCGATTCCTGCTACACACATGACTGCAGAGAAAACAAGACTACAATTAAACCTGCTCTGACTTATCAAGCATTCATAATCCATAGAGCACAGGACATTCGACAGCATACTTTTCCTCTTCCCAACGTCCAGGTCAGAGGTCGCAGCCTCATGAAGCAGCACCATTCCTAAAGTCACCGCAGCATCTGAAGCAGAGTTCAGGAACACGATCACGACAGGCTGAATGACTGACATGAAACACGGCAAGATTGTGTGCTAACTAGACATAAAACCACAGCCAAACAGAACAGATCCATGGGTTATAGTACCATAGTATTAATAATAATAGTAATAGTATCCATGGTTTACTGTGTGAATAAACAGGAAAGTGTGTCCAAGCTGAATTCAATTTGAGTTTTGTTAGACGAATATAAAAAGCTTAGTATAAAAAAAGTATAGCACTCGTGTGAAGACCGAAGAGTGTAAAGACCAGGGGTGCCCAAACTCGGTCCTGGAGGCCCGGTGTCCTGCAGAGTTTAGCTCCAACTTGCCTCAACACACCTGCCTAGAAGTTTCTAGTATGACTAGTAAGAGCTTGATTAGCTGGTTCAGGTGTGTTTGATTAGGGTTAGAGCTAAACTCTGCAGGACACCGGCCCTCCAGGACCGACAGTGCACAATTTGCCACACCACAAACTGTCAAACATCTTACCAGCAAACATACACCCGTTTTCATTCTTCTCTCCACTCTCTGAGGCAGACGTCTCTAAACTCATCCCTTCCAATCATCCTACTACTTGTCCGCTTGATCCTATTCTATCTCATCTCCTTCAAGCCATTTCTCCTGCCATTGTACCTGCACTCACTCACATCATTAACACATCTCTTCACACTGGTGTTTTTCCCTCAATATTTAAACAGGCTCGTATAACCCCACTTCTTAAGAAACCCACTCTTAACCCAACTCTTTTAGAGAACTACAGACCGGTTTCCCTTCTACCTTTCATTGCAAAAACAAAACCTCAGTGCACAATTTGCTACACCACAAACTGTCAAACATCTTACCAGCAAACATACACTCTTACCAGCAAACATACACCCGTTTTCATCCTTCTCTCCACTCTCCGAGGCAGACGTCTCTAAACTCATCCCTTCCAATCATCCTACTACTTGTCCGCTTGATCCTATTCCATCTCATCTCCTTCAAGCCCCACTTCTTAAGAAACCCACTCTTAACCCAACTCTTTTAGAGAACGACAGACTTCCCTTCTTCCTTTCATTGCAAAAACACTTGAACCAGTTGTGTTCAACCAAGTCTTTGCCTTTCTCACTCAGAACAACCTCCTGGACAGCAACCAATCTGACTTCAGAAGTGGACATTCGACCGAGACTGCCTTGCTTTCAGTTGTTGAAGCCCTAAGACTGGCAAGAGCGGCTTCCAAATCCTCTATACTCATCTTGCTGGATCTGTTTGCTGCTTTTGACACAGTTAACCACCAGATCCTCCTGTCCACCGCTGAATTCAATTTGAGTTTTGTTAGACGAATATAAAAAGCTTAGTATAAAAAAAGTATAGCACTCGTGTGAAGACCGAAGAGTGTAAAGACCAGGGGTGCCCAAACTCGGTCCTGGAGGCCCGGTGTCCTGCAGAGTTTAGCTCCAACTTGCCTCAACACACCTGCCTAGAAGTTTCTAGTATGACTAGTAAGAGCTTGATTAGCTGGTTCAGGTGTGTTTGATTAGGGTTAGAGCTAAACTCTGCAGGACACCGGCCCTCCAGGACCGAGTTTGGGCACCCCTGGTAAAGACCATCGACTCTACCGTTGGACTCCACGAGCAGGGACACCAGCAAGGGACATAAGTATCGCTTTTGAATCATTCTCTTTTCTTACTACTTGTTTCCCTTCTGTTTTCAATTTTTACTTACTATGTCTTTCCAGATCCCTAATTTCACTACCACTCGCAAACCACACATCACACACTGTAGGCAGCGCAATCCTAACAACCTGCACACTTTGCCTATGTCTACTAATAAACTACTTTTTTTTTTCTATTGGTCTCTGGAATTGCCAGTCTGCAGTAAACAAAGCAGATTTTATTACTTCTATTACTAATCATTCAAGACTAAACCTCATGGCCCTGACAGAGACGTGGATCAAACCAGAGGACAATGCTACTCCTGCAGCACTCACCAATAATTTCTCTTTTTCCCCACTCCCCCCATCTGACTGGAAGAGGTGGAGGTACTGGTCTGCTTATCTCTAAGGATTGGACATTTAATCCTTTACCATCTCTGAGTATCAACAGCTCCTTTGAATCACATTTAGCCACTATTACCCACCTTCTTAAAATCCATTTTATAGTTGTTTATCGACCCCCAGGACCACTAGATAACTTTGTGGAAGAATTAGATGTGCTGCTCTCAACCTTTCCTGAGGATGGTACTCCCCCTAGTTATGCTTGGAGACTTCAACATCCACCTAGATAAACCTCTATCATTCAAACATTTGAGCTCAGTAAGTCTCTTCTGCTCAGTAAGGCTGCATTTGTTTGAACAAAAATACAGTAAAAACTGTAAAAATGTGAAATATTATTACAATTTGAAGAAACAGTTTTCTGTGAATATATTTTAAAATGTAATTTATTCCTGTGATTTCAAAGCTGTATTTTCAGCATCATTACTCTAGTCTTCAGTGTCACATGATTTGCTGCTCAAGAAAAAGTTTTAGCTGCTGCATTTTTTTTGTGTAAACAGGATTTTTTTGATGAATAGAAAGCTCAGTGAACAGCATATATTTGAAAGAGAAATCTTTTCTAACATCTTAAATGTCTTTAGTGTCACTTTTGATCATCATTGTTGAATAAAATATTTATAGAAAAAAAAAGAAAAACATTTTTAAAAAATTTACCGATCCCAAACTTTGAACGGTAATGAATAATGATATTTATTTAAGATTCTGCACCATTTCTGTCACTATTCAAATGTAGTGTCATTGATCATGTGACACAGACATCAGATTTGGTTTCCACTGAAGATCAAGATGCTCTTTAGATCTTAAATCATGCTTAGAACATCATTAGTCACATTAGATTTAGCTCCTGTGCTGCTGTTATTGAAGCAAAACAGTAAAAGAGCAAATACTAAGGAATTCTCAAATTAATTTTACTCAAGTTATATAATCTGTAATTTTGCATTAAATTAAAAAAAATGCATTACCGAAGGATTTTCATTAGTGCTCTCAGACCTTTGCATTAAACAGCGGTCTAATGATCTCACCTGTAAGGATATCCATGATATTTGGCCCTAAAGATGGAGAGCAGCCAACTGAAGAACAGCACCACCAGCCCGATTCCTGCTACACACATGACTGCAGAGAAAACAAGACTACAATTAAACCTGCTCTGACTTATCAAGCATTCATAATCCATAGAGCACAGGACATTCGACAGCATACTTTTCCTCTTCCCAACGTCCAGGTCAGAGGTCGCAGCCTCATGAAGCAGCACCATTCCTAAAGTCACCGCAGCATCTGAAGCAGAGTTCAGGAACACGATCACGACAGGCTGAATGACTGACATGAAACACGGCAAGATTGTGTGCTAACTAGACATAAAACCACAGCCAAACAGAACAGATCCATGGGTTATAGTACCATAGTATTAATAATAATAGTAATAGTATCCATGGTTTACTGTGTGAATAAACAGGAAAGTGTGTCCAAGCTGAATTCAATTTGAGTTTTGTTAGACGAATATAAAAAGCTTAGTATAAAAAAAGTATAGCACTCGTGTGAAGACCGAAGAGTGTAAAGACCAGGGGTGCCCAAACTCGGTCCTGGAGGCCCGGTGTCCTGCAGAGTTTAGCTCCAACTTGCCTCAACACACCTGCCTAGAAGTTTCTAGTATGACTAGTAAGAGCTTGATTAGCTGGTTCAGGTGTGTTTGATTAGGGTTAGAGCTAAACTCTGCAGGACACCGGCCCTCCAGGACCGAGTTTGGGCACCCCTGGTAAAGACCATCGACTCTACCGTTGGACTCCACGAGCAGGGACACCAGCAAGGGACATAAGTATCGCTTTTGAATCATTCTCTTTTCTTACTACTTGTTTCCCTTCTGTTTTCAATTTTTACTTACTATGTCTTTCCAGATCCCTAATTTCACTACCACTCGCAAACCACACATCACACACTGTAGGCAGCGCAATCCTAACAACCTGCACACTTTGCCTATGTCTACTAATAAACTACTTTTTTTTTCTATTGGTCTCTGGAATTGCCAGTCTGCAGTAAACAAAGCAGATTTTATTACTTCTATTACTAATCATTCAAGACTAAACCTCATGGCCCTGACAGAGACGTGGATCAAACCAGAGGACAATGCTACTCCTGCAGCACTCACCAATAATTTCTCTTTTTCCCCACTCCCCTTGGAAAATGGCATCTCAGGAACCGCACGCCAGTGGTTTGAGTCTTACCTCTCATGATGGGTCCTTCAAGATATTTTGGAGAGGTGAGGTGTCCAAGTCGCAAGTAGCTACTGGGTTGCCTCAGGGCTCAGTACTTGGACCACTTCTCTTCTCTGTCTACATGGCATCACTAGGTTCTGTCATTCAGAAACATGGCTTTTCATATCACTGCTATGCTGATGACACTCAACTCTACTTCTTATTCCCTCCTGATGATCCGACGATAGCTGCTCGCATCTCAGCTTGTCTAACAGACATTTCTTGTTGGATGACGGACCATCACCTTCAACTCAACCTGGCTAAGACAGAACTGCTTGTGGTTTCAACAAACCCATCACTTTATCAAAATTTCACCATCCAGTTAGGCTCATCAACCATAACTCCTTCAATAACAGCTATAAACCTTGATTGACGATAAGCTGAATTTCTCAGACCACATTGCTAAAATCACCCGGTCCTTCAGATTTGCTTTATACAACATTAGGAAGATCAGGCCCTTTCTTTCAGAACATGCAACACAACTCCTTGTTCAAGCTCTTGTTCTATCCAGGCTGGACTATTGCAATGCTCTCTTGGCAGGTCTTCCAGCCACTTCTATCAAACCTCTACAATTAATCCAAAATGCAGCATCTTTAACGAGTTGAAAAAAATGCACGTCACACTGGCTACCAGTAGCTGCTCGCATAAAATTCAAAACATTAATGTTTGCCTACAAAACCACCACTGGCTCTGCACCCATTTACCTAAATTCATTACTTCAGAGTTATGTGCCTCTAGAAGCTTGTGTTCTGCAAGTGAACGATGCATTATTGTGCCATCTCAAAGAGGCACAAAATCACTTTCACAGACTTTTTCATTAACTGTTCCCTCCTGGTGGAATGACCTGCCCAACTCAATCCTGAGTCCTTAGCCATCTTCAAGAAACGACTAAAAACTCATCTGTTCCACCTTTATTTGACCCTCTAACTCTAACACTTTCTATTCTATTTTAATTCTACTTTAT